TCTTCCCGTGCTTCTGTCTGCAGGTCTATGTGCTCGCTGTTAAACTCTTTAAAGTTCCACTGAGCGCAAGGTAAGGTTACCCACAGAGGACCGTGAAACCACAAAGAATGTTCCAATAAACCTTTAGGAGTAAGTCCACGACTAGCACAATCAGCAGGGTAGTCCAATGATTGAACGTGAAACCAAGATACATCGGCAGGCCTATTCTCTATGAACAGCAATTTGCAAGTTGCTTTTTTTTGAATAGAAAACTCACGCTTGACAGCGACTTGACAGCGACAATTGCGCAATTCTCTGCGGTCGCAAGTTACAGAATAAGGCTGCCGGAATGGTTTCCTGAATGTGGCTAACACGGTTTGCCACGAAACTTTTCCATCTATGCGGCGACGATGCCAACCATGCCAAAACTACTTCTGAGTCCGAGGAGGCAAATATTTCATCTATAATGACAAGTGGCGAATATGTACGGATGATAAAATTCAAAAGATCGGCTAGTAGGTTAGCTCCAAGGAGCTCTAAGCGAGGTATAGATTTGGTTTGTGGTGGCGCAACTTTAGATTTACCGCAAGTAAAGGAGGATCGAACATTGCCGTCGGACAGCACGATCCGAACATATACTGCCCCGGCATACCCAAGTTCTGAAGCATCACAAAATCCCAACAGTTGACACCGAATATTATATTATATATTATTTATTTGAAAAATTTTAACGAGGTAGATAAATACTTGACAAAGATGAAAATTCACTTTTGTATTGGTTCCAAAGATCAACAATAGGTTCTGAGGGCGTTTCATCCCAGGAAACCTTGTCCAGTCAAAGTTTCTGCATAATAGTTTTTGCTAAGAATGTTACATGCGCAATAAACTATTATGCAAAAACTTTGACTGGACAAGGTTTCCTGGGATGAAACACCCTCAGAACCTAAATTAACTTTATTTTTCTAAAATAAAATGGCAACTTAAAAAAATTAAATCGCACTAGGCGGACGGGTTATTATCGGTAAGTTTGGATAAGTCTGCATTTTCTTAATTAATATGGTAATGAGCACCGATTTATAATCCAATTATTAATTATGCTCCTGGCGATTTTATATTTAATTTTATGGGAACAAAAAATAAGTTATTTTTGCTAGGCGATTATAGTTTCAGAAATGTCGAACAACATTTGAGTTCAGTTTTATATAATTTAGCCCAATGAATTGTTTCATATCATTTATTTTGTTGTACATATATTTTTTGTTAATGAATTTACATTATTGTTATGTAGATGTTATTTCTTCTAAATAAATAGTACCAAACAATAAGTAATCTCTGATATACATCCATATGTTATTCAAATGCTTAATTACGTTCAAACAATCAATGCGCACTTATTCCGCTCTTTTGACCCTGCGCTCTTTTGTCCGTGTGCTATTTTGTTCGTGCGCTCTTTTGTCGGTGCGCTATTTTGACCCTCGCTCTTTTCACCTGCACTCTTTTGTCCGCGCTCTTTTTCACCAGCGCCGCATTTATGCTTCCGCGGATCTTCTCTTTGAGATTCGATGAGCAAAGCTAGCAATCGGAGATTCAAAAATAATTTAAATTTCAAGGTGTTATATTTAAAAAAGATTTTTCAAGTTTTTGATGGATTTACGTTTTCGAGGCGTATAAATACATTTATTTTCCGAACAATTTTGCATTCGAACAATTTTCCTTTCGAATAATTTTCCGTTCTAATAATTTTCCGTTCGAACAATTTTCCGTTCGAACAATTTTCCTTTCGAAAAATTTTCTGGGACTCAATTTTGACATTAGATTTGACATAGTGACAGTGAAATAATAGAAATACCTTTTGTTTTTTAGTAACATTATTGCTTACAAAATGCAAACGGCGATTATAAAGTGTTTTGAAAATTACGAAAGGACTCAACACAAATAAAAACGAAACATCCGAAAATTACGAACAAGTCAACACCTAGAAAATTATCTCTTATATTATAGTATTTTCTGTATAAACGCTACAACTAAAGTTCTAATTTTTAATTTTATATTATGTTGCTCCGCATCATATTCTATGGTATGACCCACAGGTTAGGTAGATGAATATAATAGCTTGGAATAAAATTGGGCCATGTTTCAAAACGATATAAGCTTATGACAACACGATAGAGAATAATAAATATAAAACCCTCCAAACTCAAATAACATTTTAATTTTGATGCGAATACGATCTTTCCATTGAGCGACTATATAGAAGAGGATGAGGAATACCTACTCTTCGGGCGACGAAAACGTCGTTCAAGGCATGTTTTCTGTGGCCGCGTAAAAGTAAAACCCATTTATTATTGTAACGTCGCATTTTGTTATCATCCGCATGGCTCTATTCCAAAATTGATGGGCGCCAGTTTACAGCACAGCAACGAACGTCTCTGGATGTAATACGATGGCACGAAATGCATATTTTATTCAATAAATTGATGCTCATATTTTTCATGGAGAAAATACCTACCCTAATTTGGGATTGACGTAGCCATGCCATAAAACTTTTGCTTTTAATAGTTTAGTATTGAATACCTTTACGTCATCTTCAGCATGAGGACGTTCGTTTTTGTAACGATATAAGTACATGGAAAATATAAGTTTTTCACTTTCTCAGTGAACGGCTTCCAACACAGAAAAAATGATTATTCCATGGCGCACTTGAACAAATCTCAAATTGACCTGGAAAAAAAAACACTTTCACTTGATATTTTGAGATACTAGCATTCAAGAAATATACGTATTTATCCATTCATTGGACCGCATCTTACCTTTATTTTTACCTTATTTCTAATACAATCGTTTTGTTCTATCGTCATATTTCAGAATTTGCCCAATTGCGTTTAAGCTTCTTAATAGTTTATATCCTTGAAAGTCTTAAAACTTTTTACTTTCTAATTTGCGTTACCCATCAGACCATAAATTTTCCAATCCAATGACAAAATTTTATATTTTAACTTGGCTCTAACATATTTTTTTTTTCCGAAAAAACTCAACTTGCAATGGAATTAATATTACATTAAAATGGCACTCTTATTGTTAATTTTTTATTTATTTTATTGTCAATGCATTTAACACAAGAAATAGACATTCCTTGAAGATACAAAACAAAAATAATTGAGACAGTATTTCTGAATATCTCCCAACAAAGGATTTGTGAGATTTTTTTTAGAAAAAATTAAATCGGCCATATTTTGAAAACTATAAGACTTGGTACTAAGGTAAGTTTGACTAAATGAGTTCTAAATGACTTACTCTATCACCTTCCAAAATATATGCATCGACCTACCAAACACCCTGTATAAGTTATAGGACCCAGGGTTAAAAATTTATCAATTTTTGACCTTACAATAAATTCAAATTTAGAACATAGTGTCCAACCTTGACCTCAGTTCAGAATAATGATTATGATTGATAAAAGATAAAAGATAGGAACATTATTCAAATATGACGGTACTAAAAGTTAGGTAAAAAAAAATCTATAGTGAATACGGCAAAACAAATATTAAAAAATAGAGTTCACTCTGGTGTCAAGAATAATGCATAAAAATTCAATCAAATATGGTAATTTATAATAAAATAGATTCCATATAAAAAGGTAGGTAGTAAAAGTTATAATTGAAACTCTATTCAATCCTCAATTCCAACAGGGAGGTAGATTACGGTAGTCGGTAGCCATTTAGTCTTTGGTCACTGGATGAGGGAAGTTGCACTGGAAGTCGTAGATTCTAGCCTGGAAGGTAGAGGCTAGAAGTCCAGGTTTCTTCGTCAAAGGTAGGGGTTCATGAATCGACACGTGAAGGACTCAAGAGCTCTTTCCCCAGAGATGGGGCTTGTTAAAAATGGATCCCTTGAGAGAAACAGCTTCTCGGAAAATACAGGTCCTCGGTAGAAATAGGCCCACGGTAGAACCCTAAGTAATAGAGACATTTCATGGACAACTATCACTTAAAAAAAAAATTAAGAAAACTAAATTTTTCCGGTAATCAACGAATTACTGCGTTACGCAACTTTATTTCGCTAAGATAAGGTAATGCCTGAAGGCCGATAAGGTACTTTTTCCATGAGAACGGTAATTTGACTTGAGGAAGGTGACTGACCCCCTAGGCCATACTCGGACCTTTTTAAGGCAACGGCAAGAGTAGAAAAGGGACTCTTCAATTTTCTCTTCCAGAATAAATAGATATCATTTATCAGTTTTGAAGAAAAACACTGTCAACCTGTCGACCCTCAGCTATGTAAAAACTACTACGTTCGAAAACTATTAACGAAGTTAAAGAGCAACGAAGTACTGGGGTCGAGTAGATTTAGTTAGTACAAAAGAAAACGCCACTTATATAAAAAAAGCAAGTGACATTTGCAATGTTACAATTTCTATAAAACTTTACTGTCTGAACCTTAATAAAAAAAAATATATATATATATATATATATATAAATTATTTTGTTTCGCGTTTTTCTTTGACCTTTTTTTAATATATATTTAGATTTTTGTAGTTTATTGGTTTTAGGTCATAATAAAACAGCAGAGAGTTTTATGTAGATTATAATAAGTTTAACGTTTCGACCATGGTTTGGTCTTTTTCAAAAACTGAAAAGTAGGAAAATACACATACAAAATCATACAAAAATATTTAAAAAAATCTTTACCTTAGAAAGTAGATTTATCCAAACATTTAAACACTTTAAAAACATCAAGCAACATCACGATATTTTTTTTTTTTAATTTAAAAAGGTTTCACACGTAGGTAAACATATACAAGACAGGACAGTACTGTGTGTGCACGAGTTTATAGTAGACTGGAATATATTTTCGAGAGGTTGTCTATATCAGTCTTATCGTTAATTGCATTTTTGTGTTTTTTTATGCATACCATTTCAAGGAATTCTCTTTTTTTTAAATTAGGTTCATATTATATATATATATATATATATCGACGTAATATTTAAATAAATTAACAATATGCTCTGTTTTAATTCTAGGTTGCTTGGGTTAGAGTGGATACCCAAACTATCCTGTCCATCCACCATAACGTTATAACTCAAAATCCACGGATATCACTTTCATATAATGATCACCGATCATGGTATCTACACATAAAAAACGTTCAAGAGGTTGATAGGGGCTGGTACATGTGTCAAGTAAACACTGACCCTATGAGATCTAGAAAAGGATACCTACAAGTTGTCGGTAAGTAAAGCAATTTATAGTCATATTCTTTTGATATTTTATTATAGTCCGCAAAAAGTAAAATGTTCACGACTCAAAAATCTAAACATACCAATAAATCTGAAGAGTAAAGAAGAAAATATTTTGCATTGCCATAATGTTTCTATAAAAAAAAATTTCGTTTTCACTCCTGGCCAACTTCGAAGTATTATTTTTGATAAATGCTTATGGTTTTATTCAAGAGTTTCTATCACAGAAAAAATTGTTTGAGATTTTTCCTAAAGAGACAAAAAAAACGTGTTTGGTTTATTTTCCTATGATATAGGTACCTACATTTAAAGCTAAAAGTAATTTGTTATCGTGAAATTTTATATCCTCATTTAATAAGGGTACTTTTCCAGACAGCTAAAAATACGCATGAAATATTTTTATTAATAGATGTGGTGCCATCATTCCCGTAATCCAATTGCCACCATTACTTTTCAAAGCCAAGTTATTATGGCTCAGTAATAGTACTTTTTATCACTAGTATGCCACTTTTAACAGTGCATAACTACGGGTCGTCGCCGGCTGTTATCCAGACTTTAATATCGGAGAGCACATTTATTTTACAGCGTTCGGAACTTTCTGTGAAAAATTATTTTCCATATTTTTTTGTCTTGCTCTCTGACACAATTATATTTTATAATGTGGAAAGGTAAAAAATTATTTTCCGAGAAATAATTCTTTTTCTTCGGAGCGGTTTCTTAGCAGCAGCAGATAGCGACATCGTGACTGGGGGGATTTCACTGCGTAAACTTGTTATTTTGACCTAACTTTTCATTCAAAACTTTTTTCTTGTTTGAAAATGTAAAATTGAATCACGATAAAAGCCATATGTTATTAAAAAAAAGTTTGTTTCCAGTAGGATAGAAACTAACTTGTTGTACTTTCAAAAACTAGAAAATAAGTATTACGTTAGAGCTTCAAGTGTTGCTCAAAAAAGATATATAATTTTCCCAGCTAAGCAGAAATAAATGGGGCATTTTTTTACGTTTTATATTTCTCATTACATCTCTTACTGCATAAGTGCCTACTTAATTTACCCGTGTAAATATTTCTTTAGTGACGATTCCAAAAATAAAATCCCTGGAGGAAATTAACAGTGTGACGATTCAAATTTGCTGTTTAAATTCAGCTTTGGAAAGTTTATGTACAAAAGTTTCTGTTAAATATAGCATAGCTCCTTCATAAACTAGTAGTATCTGTCACATTTTCAAAAATAAAGGATTTTTTAATAATTGATTTAAACCTACTTTTTATAAATTAGAAAAATTTATTATCGTGTTTGAATCTAGAATAAAATAAAAAAATGATAACAATTTTATGTGAAAAATGTTTTAATAATTCACAAAATTAAAAAAATATATATTCGGAAACAACAAGTTTTATCTACTCATAAGTATATCCATACAATTCGTACCTATGGATAATACGTCTAGAAAGTCAAAAATTGAAGTTCCGAAAATTTTCAGCCAGGCTCACTTTCCGCTTCCTGAGATAAGATCTGAGATTAATTGCTTGGGCGGTGAAAAAAATTATGTTGGACAAACATTTTTTATTTGTCAATTTTATTATTTGTCAATCAAAAAACTTATAATTGAAAAATAGTCTCACGTTAAATGAAATTTTCCAATTCCAAATATGATTTACGGACTTATATTTATTAACCTCACCTTGTTTGTAAGTAAACTCCATGCTATTATTTATATTCATACATTGTATATCCATATTTTAAGGACCTGAAGAAGAATTAAAGAAATTCGAAAGCTTGTCGAAACAAAAAAGAGTATTTCATTATTTTAGGCCCAATTACCAAGCCAAAAATAACCCACTATATTAAAAAAATTTATATATATCTATATACATACGTCATATCCAAAAATATTAACATGCCAACTAATTCAAAAGTTTTTTCCATCTATTCAAATCATAAAATCCCTCCCATTTCGCGGGAACGTTTTAAAGAAACTTCTCCCCAGAGACAATTGTGCAGCTCCTATGAAAATACCTATACATTTTTAACGAATATTAGAATGTTAGTTCCGCACACAAATCCTTTCATTTATTATTTAATAAGAAATCAATAAACATATACGTACGTACTTTCAACTCATAATAATAATTTACCCTGATAAAATTTATTGTACAAATAAATTAATTACTGATGACACAACAAATTCAACTTGAAAATGCGTTTGATTAAAACAAATAATAAATTATGATGCTGGAAATAGCAAGCAGCAAATTGATTTAAAACAAAAAACAAACATTGTTAAACTTCATACATCGACTCTGGAAAGGAACAAAAAGTATTACATATCATTATTTAATCATATTACTACAGCTTAATATGGTTCTATTATATTTTTCCATTATTTGTAAAATGAACCATTAATTCCCTATTTTATACCAAATCGGAATATTTTGTTATATCTATAGTTAATTGAATTGAACATAAATCATGTTGTATGCCATTGTCTGATATTTGTTACATTTTCGAATGGTTTTTGAGCTGTTCTTTAAAAGTAATTAATTCAACAAAATTTAAAATAAGTTTGAAAGGTTGAATGAAATAAAAACTGCTATCAAGTATCAGGATGAACATTAACGTTTCACTAAATAAGTGTTGCCACTTTTGTGAGTAAGTTTAGTGAAATCCTTTTGATATACTTATATGGATAATTATACTCAAATTTTTTTGAAACTTTTCCTAAAAATACCTGAAAGTATGTTTTATTTATATGTCAGATGATAAGTTTGGAAATTACACTAAATAATAGCCTGGTTTCTATTGCATTCCAACTCCCTAACATATCGCTCGGTGGTAAAGTGACACTACTAGAAGAGTCTTAATGCAAAACCATTACCATTGAAGATGCGAAAAATTATGAGTTTTTTTAGGAGAAATTGATTTCATTCTATAGCTCTTTAGATTATCACAGGTCGTTAGTAAAATATAATAATCGTATAATTAGGGTAACGGGCCAATTAAGGACCGATTGTGTTTTCTCTCTGCAGGACTCTCTGTGGACGCGTTTCCCTGTATCACATCTCATCAGCATGGTTAGGTGTCGCAGAGAGAAAACACAACCCATTTTTGGTTTCATTTCGGAACTGGGTATAAGACTGATAACATGAAGTCTGCATCCATTTTCTGGTCGGCGCACCAAATACTGCAAACAAGAGCTGTTATAAAACAGTATCAAAATTGGAGCAGTTGGACTCGTAAAGGCATTCGCAACAATTACGAAAATAGCTAATTTGGCCACCAATCAGAAACAAATTAGGCAGTTTAAGTTAATTTAATAATATTGAGTTGTGTTTTCTCTCTGCGGGACCTACTCGTGCTCATGAGATGTGATACAGCGAGAAAAAACTCTTCTCAATCGGTCCTCAATTTGTCCGTTACCCTAATAAAAATAAATTTTTCGGTTTCTTGAACCGACTAATTTGTTTCTGATTGGTGTCCAAATTAGCTATTCTCATAATAATAATACGAGTCCATCTGCTCCAATTTTGATACTGTTTTATAACAGCTCTTGGTTGCAGTATTTGGTGCGCCGACCAGAAAATAGATGAAGACTCTGTCTTCATTTTATCAGTCATAATCGTATAAGTTATGCGTTATAGAGGGCAATCATTTTTGTTCTTCTTGAATACTACATTAGTTATTTTGTGTTATGTGGCCTGATTCCCAGCCTCCAAGTTTGCCAGTCATGATGCTCGAACATAAAATAATAAACATATGCAAAGTGATTGATGATTGAAGATAATAGGACTCTGAAGGCATTGCGTGGAAATTTTGCTGAGGGTAGAATGAGTTTTAAACTCGCCGATAAAAATGGTAACATAAAAACAAATAAAGCCGGAATCTTAAAAAAGACTGAAGAGTTGTTTGCAGAACTGTATGTGTATATGCTAAGGGGACACCAAATGCTCAAAATTTTGGATCCGAGGGTAACTCAGGTAGGTTTATCTCTGGACAAAATCACATATTCTCTCACAGAAAAAAAAAAAAAAAAAAAAAAACAAAAGATCACTAGGAGATGACGCAGTAGTTTTTGAAGAGGTTGAAGAAGCAGGTGATCTTTACTATGCGCTACCCATAAACTTTCTACCAGATGTCCTGCTCAATGGCACAATGCTCTAATAGTCTTCATACATACCTAACAAGTTGCAGTAACATTCTGTCAAACTTAAAATGGAAATAATTTGGTGAAATTTTCAATCGCGATTTTTTCGAAACTTTTAAAGTAAGGTATAGGCTATCATACATAATATACAGAGTGTTCCAGAAAGGTTGGGTAAAAACTTAAGGAGTTTATAGGGAACATTTGTAATATTATGTTTTTCTGTATATTTTATTACAAAATATTTTGACTATTTATTAACTGTCTTAGTTTCTTAATATGACATGTCTATTGACACTGCTAGTATCAACCTGTAAGGTAAAACAGGTAAATATAATATAATAATAATAGAAGTCCTTAATTAATAATACGAATAATAAAAATAAGTACAACTTATTATAAGACGTTTTCATTTTTTTTTTTGGTTTTTTTCAAACATCCCAGTCAAAATAATTTAAATCATTACAATAATTATCAATAAATGGTATAGAAGTTTTTCTTATCAACCTTCTATTTCTTCTATACAATTTTCCTCTCAAGTCCTTAACTAAATACGACCTTTCTGAAACTTTTTCCGTAATAAATCCTTTTTCCCATTTTTCATTTACCTGAAACAAAACTTTATCATTTTCATTTAATTCTGGTCTTTAGCGTTACGATTGAAATAATAAATTTGAACCTTTTGATTCCTATCAAGTTTAGAAATAACAATATGGGAATCAATAACTTCATTTTTAAGAATATCTGTACAAACAGGAATTTTCTCTTTCAAAACTCTGTTTAACAGAAGTTGAGCTGGTGTGTATCCAATGCTAGGGATAGGAGTATTTCGATAACTTAACAAATATTTATATAGTTCCAAGTCATTTTTCATTTTAATTAGCATTGATTTGGCAATATCAACTTCTTTTTCGGCAAATCCATTCGATTGATGATGATGGGGACTTGAAAAAGATAAAGAAAAATTCCAATCGGATGCAAAGCTTCTGAAAATTTGACTGTTGTAAGGAATATTGTCAGAATAGAAGGTATCTGGTCCGCCAAATCTAGAAAAAATAACCTCCAGTTTTTTTATATAATCATTGCCGATTTATTCGAAATATAATCAATTTCAATCCATTTAGAATACGCGTCATATGTTACAAGATAATTTTTATTTTTAAACTGGAAAATATCACTAGATAAATTTTGCCAATGTCTTTCAGGCAATGGATGGTTTATTAACGTTTCCTTTTGATTATTAGGCCTGTTCAACTGACAAATCTTACATTTCTCAATATATGTTGAAATATCATTGCCCATACCACGCCAATGCAACGCTTGTCTAGCTCTTAAACGGCATTTTTCGATGCCCATGTGCCCTTCATGTATTAATTTCAACATATCTTCTCTTAAAGAAAAAGGAACAATTAATTTATTACCAAAAAACAATAAATCATCTAACACAGAAATTTCATCTTTTATTTTGAAGTAATGTTTGAGGGCTGAATCAAGTTTTTTGTATTCTGGCCAGTTTTCCTTGGAAAATTTTAAAGTTTTTGATAAAATTGAATCTGATTCTCTTGCATTCTGAAGAACAGTTCGCTTTTCCTGCGAAATCGTGAAATTTTTACAAATTAAATGAACTACTATCTGAAATGGAGTTCAGGCTCATCCTCAACAATATCTTTAATCAATGATCTAGAAAGAACATCTGCCACCAACATGTTTTTGCCACGGAGATATTCAACTTCCAAATTATATTTCAATAATTTCAATAACATTCATTGTAGCCTAGATGACACTGTATTTAAATCTTGATTAAATATTGAAATAAGAGGTTTATGATCAGTATGAACTTTACTTTTTTTACCATAAATAAAGTTATTTCTCTCATATTTGATGTTATAAATTTGATAAATTAGAAATAAATTTAGAAAAAAACTTTAACAAACCTAAAATTTTTAACAAATCACTTTTATTTTAAGGCGGTTCAATAGCTAACACAGCATCAATGTTACTTTCGTCAGGTTTAATGCCAAACCCAGAAATAATTTGACCTAAAAATTTCACCTCCCACAATTTATATTGACATTTTTTCGAATTAAATTTTACGTTATTTATGATTGCACTTTCAAAAACTCTTTTTAAAGCCTCGTCATGCTCGCTTTCAGTCTCACTGCCAATTATACTATCGTCAAAATAATCATATACACGAGGAATATCACCAAAAATACCATTACTTTTTTTTTGGAAAATTTCGGGGGCTAAAGAAATTCCAAAAGGTAGTCTATCGAATTTATATTTGCCAAAGGGCGTAATGAAAGTACATAAATTAGAACTTTCTTGGTCAAGTTGAATTTGCCAAAAGCCATCTTTCATATCAATAACTGAGAAATATTTTTTACCTAATAATTTATTAATAATGTCATCGTTCGTTGGAATTAGAAAATGCTCTCTTTTAATATATTTATTCAAATGTTTTAGATTATCTTGACATAAACGTAAATCTCCTCCGTTAGTTTTTTCAACAATCACTAAATTATTGACCCAATCTGTAGGATACTCAACCTCAGAAATAACTTTTCTATTTTCTAAATCATCTGAAGTTTGTTTATCATGTAAAGAAAAAGGAATTTTTCTCCGTCCATTTATAACTGGAATAGTATCATTTGATAATTTTATTTCACTTCTAGTTGAAATGCAGCCTAAACCTTCAAAAACGTCGTGGTACAAATCAATTATTTTATTTTTGTCATTTGGCAAATTTACATTCAAACAATAAACTCTTCTGATCATTTTTAACTTTAAACAATCAGATAAACCTAATAAAGGTTGAGAATCGCAAGTTACAACAAAAAAGTTAACATTTTCAACAATGTCTTTTTACTGGCATGTCAAGTTTACTTCACCAATTGGATTCATTTTAAAGTTACCAAAGTTGAAAAAGAATTTTTAGTTGGTTTAGGTGAAATACCCGTTTCAAGTTTGTTGAAAATTGTCAGTGGCAAAATACTTATGCCAGCTCCTGAATCCAGTTTAAATTTAATTATGTGTCCATTGATGTCTAAATCTTCATGCCATGTAATTATATCAGAATTTTGTTTCTTTGCCTCATGGATAAATAACTGCTGCTCTTCTCAATTTTCTGCCTCATATTCGCGAGAAGCATCAATTGCAAAAACATTCTTTTTCTGAGTGGAGTCTTTTTTTGTTTTCAAAATTGTCTTGGCGATTGAATCTTTTTTCTTTAGAAAGACAAACTGAAGCAAAATGATTTTTCTGACCACAGTAAGAACATGTTTGACCAAAAGCAGGACATTTTCCATGATGCGAGGTTCATTCTCTCCCTTCCCTTTCCAGAAAAACATTTAGCCTTTAGAAAAGATATTCGTGATTCCTACAAAAAATTATTTCTTTGTCGGCGATGCCCGGATAAACAAAACCGCAGAAAAAAATCTGCAGATAAGGGTTGAGTATAAATTTAGTCCAAGAGCATCAATTAAATTAATTTTGCGTATAGTATTATTGTATTGTTCTGGATTCGATTGAGTACTTTAATTTCTTGCATTATTAATTGGAAGATCTTTTAAGAAAATTTAAAAATATTTTGAACATTATTTACAACAATTTAAACCGAATAATTTCAAACCAATATAATCTTGTACTCGAGCGGTTCCTGACACATGCTCCTTAACTAAATGCAGGCCGGCTGATAATATAAACATACTTTTTTGTATGAATCTCGAATATCTCTGGCGGATACTATACAGTGTGATTTTTTAAGTGTGCAACATATGGGGATATTTTTTAGTAATAACACAATCCGAATACAAACAAGGCAGAAAGTTGGTGCATGTCTGATAATCATATAAGGTGTACTTAGAATGGTTGCAAGTCAAAGAACATGCAGGGTAGCTCAAACAATATCAAAGCTGGTACTGTAAAATACCCTTATTTTAGAAAATTCAGCAAAATGTTATAGAGAAAAGTTGTTTGGAATTAAAAGTTATGCCTAAATACCAAAACATAGCCTCCTAAGATTTTTTTAATTTTCTTTTGAAAAAAATCTATAATTTCTATAATTTTTTTATTTTTTATTTCCGCCCTTGATACTTTCAAAAATTAATTGAAATCAAATCAATTTTACATAACTTTGTTCAAATTCAAGCATATTTGTAAAATTAACTTAGATTTTTAATTTTTTATGGAATCACAAAATTCATGTTTGTTGCAATGATATTCAACACAACTTTAAAATGTCGCAATTTTTTTTTTTAACAAGTTAAAACATTACTAATGATAATAGTCATATTACAAAAACTCTCCTTAAAGTGCAAAAGTTTTATTTTATTTAAGTAAATATAAGTATAATTTTGATATTTTTTGACCCTTCCTGTATACTGTTTGACTTGCAATCATTCTAAGTGCACCTAATATGATTATCAGACATGCACCAACTTTTGGCCTTGTTTGTATTTTGATTGCGCTATTACTAAAAAAAAATCCCATATGTTGCACACTTAAGTAATGACACTGTATATCTAGTCGGGTACTTGTTGGCTGGCTATGCTTAGGGCATCTTCTATGGACCCTTCCCTTTCAGGGTGAGCAGAGCGGATCCTAAATAAGGCTGCTCAGTCACGGATGCCGCAAACGAGCCAATCCCTGAGTAAATCAATGAAAAAAATTAATTCTGAGAGTTGCGAGTTGAAACGTCGCGTGCCCATTTTGCCACTAAAACAAAACTCTATTGGATGCAGTTTAGGATAAGAAATCACTCTTTTAAGAGTTAAAACAAAGTAAAAATCAAGAAAATAAAATCGTACTTGCATGTACCCGACACCAAAGCAACCGAATGTTCGTGCGTGAAATTTTCCTTTTGTTAGCAAACCTATGCCTTTATTTTGTGCTAATAAAATATCTATTTGAACGACCTTATTTCACGACATTCATAAAATTGTGTTTTATAGTTTTTGAAATATTATCCTTTGACATTGAGGGATAGCACAGTCCCTGATGCTAAATTTATGTAAAATGACACTGCGTCTCCCAGGTGGCTGGAGAAATTCCAGATTTTATGGGCCCCTGGCTAGTTTCAAAAATAAGATTATTGTCGTTTGTTAAAAGAGAAATTGCCCTATAATATTTCATGGTCAACCTACGAAAACCCAATTCTGCTACCTACGAAAATGACACATGACAAGCTTTCCATTTTATATTTTATCAGAAAAATTATAAGGTTACTAAAATACTATCAATTATATGCTATATTATTGGCTCTTATAGCAATAAAATCACTTCAATTTTCATTATTAGGATTTTCTGGTAGAGAATGCGTATTTAAAATTATGATAGCCCTTTGCTCGATGGTTTTTGGTTTCAACACGAAACCTTCCATGAGTATTATTTATTCATTATTTCGAGGGTTTTCAATGTGGCAAAATAGTTTTATTTTATTATTTTAACCAAAAATAAAATTTATGTATATGTGACAGGAAGTAGGAGCAAATTAAAATCAAGTGCCTCAAGCTGGAAAATAATTTCGAAATTAAATATTGGTTAAATTATTATGCATCGCTATATTTTTTAACACATACCTTTATTTATTAATCCATCATTTTGTTTCACAAATTTTATCTCTTCCTAGTTACCGCAATATGACTAAAGATATCTCTCTAGCTAAAGTTATTTTTATATACATAATTTAATTTATACTAATTATTATATATAAAATATTTAATGTAATTTTCCTAATTAAATATGCAGAAGTTATCTTTTAATTATAAATATGACGTTGTTTCAGTGCCCCCGAGCATCATAGACCGAGAAACAAGTTCCGACATGGTCGTTTTGGAGTCGACAAATGTCAGCTTGACTTGTAAAGCTACAGGATATCCTGAGCCGTATGTGATGTGGAGAAGAGAAGACGGCGAGGACATACGCTACAATGGAGAAAATGGTAATGATGTAATATTTAGGAAATTTCATTGTAGCGCATAAAATAAATCTGCCCCTTTGGGGAAATCCAACGATTTTATCTCCCTTAATACATTGCCGCTACGTTACTGTAAGGTAGATAGAGATGGCTGGCTTGTTATTAGGTCAGGAAGGCAAGAAACTTGATAAATAGTTGTATTGTTATTTGTGAATTATACAAGCTTATGCATATACGGTATAGTACGTGAATTAAACAAGAATAAAAGATCTTAAGGGCCGCTTGCAAATTTGATTTTATTGAAAAGACATTTAACTAAGGTTGGACGTCTCATAGAGATGAAGGTAAGAGAAAATTTAAACTGCCTACAATTAATTTAATTCAAAAAATTTGATGGAATTCCATATTGCAGATTGGATGCCATTTTGGACCCAATTTAGTAAGGTACATGAGGACTTGTAATATGGATTTGAATGACAAAGTAGAGTACAGGCCTAAATTACAGTACCTAATATTGAAGCTAGGCAACTTGTAGAAAGCTTTCCGACTATAGGTGTAGTATTTCTATTATTGTGTCATTAAGGGCTCGTCAACTTTTGTTGATTTGCTTGAATTAAAGCCACGGTAATGGATTTGAAATAGTCTGGTATATTTTCTGATGTGTTCCATTTCATTGGTTTTTTAAACCATTCCCGATCTTTCACTTTCCCGTTAAATTCAACAGTCGCTCTTACTGCTAGAGGTAGCACAGACTTTGGTAGCACCGAATAAGTCTCAATTTTCTTTTTTGTTCGACTATGAGAACTCGTCCGTGTCCATCTCCTTTTAAGTTCTTCTCAAAAACGCTGTTCATTAGATGCAAATTATGTTGGTTGAACACTGAGAGAATTAATTTTAGACCATTATAAAAATCTTAATAACCTTAATAAAAATATCGTATAAAATGGGGGACAGAAAAGCGCTGTAGTTACCATTATAAAAGTCACTTTATAAACTACTACTTTGCTACCATTGATAGACCAATTTACTGAAATCGCCTAAAGACCATTAAAAATTTATAAACAAGACACAATAAAATAGTTTTGAATGGTTAAAAAACGGTTTTTTAACTGTCAATAAATATTTGATGATGGTTATTAAATTGTATATTAACCCTTAATATATCTTATAAGGGATAATATAAACAGTTTCATAATAACAGATGAATATCTTTATACCATTAATATTTTTTTTTTTGACCACCAAAAATTCCTTTTATAATCATAACAAGATAACCTTATAAGGCCTAGTTATACAATTTTGGTTAAAAACAGAGTTCAGCTGAACTCGACTGGTACTTGAACTTCTCCATTTAAAATACATTGCTGTCAGCTATTAATCAAATTCTATCATTTTTGACAGCAATGCATTTCAAATGGGGAAGTTCAAGTACCAGTCGAGTTCAGCTGAACTCTGTTTTGAACCAAGATTGTACAACTGGGCCTAAGGATTATTAAAAATGTTATGGTACTATTATATTGCATTTGGGAAGAGGTAAAAATAAAAAGACAATGGGTATTTTTTAAATCAAACTTTTATTGATTGTTGATACGTACATATTATTATGGTGATATTGAAAATAAATAAAAGCTGCATCTACGGTAATCATATAAATTAACAAAATTTTGAATCGTATATGTATACCTACATAACTACTTAAGTATATAATATAAAAAATACCACTTGGAAGAAGCAAAAGAGGTAATAAGAGAGAAAAAAGAATGCAGAAAATCCTAGCTTCAGTTGCTTTGTGAAATAATTATTCCAAATCTGAAAATTAATGAAAGCATTGAGAAGGTTATATTTTTACCTACTCATAGCTCACCTTCGAATGACTGTAAGCCCCACTCTAGAAGGGTAACTTTACACGCCATATTCAGACCAGTGCCAGTGTGAATCCAAAATCCAAGGTTATAAATGATAAATAATTCAAAATAATTTAAATAATTCACCAACGCAATGCACTAACTAATCGACGCTTACAGCAAAAAATGGCGCGACATGACACAAACACCTGATCACAAATGAGCGGGCTCATGCTACATGCTTGCACGGAAGCAATAATTGGAATGCACAGAAAAATTACAAATTAAACCATTATGGCGCGTTTCGGGTTGTTTCGCGAATAGCCGAAGCCAATGACAGCCCGCTTAAGTTTATTATGGCTATAACGCACATTTTAAAGACTGAAAATCAACTAATAGTTGTTAAAAAACGTATATCGATGGTTATGAAGATCAATTTTAAAGATCGTGTGTAGTAACCATATTAAAGTATCTAGCTACTGTAGTAAATTCGTATGAAGAAATTTGAACATAATACATCAGTAAATTAAATTTTTAACAAGAGTAAAGTATTTTATAGGAGCTCATAGATAACTATAGGTGATAATGAGGATAATTCAACAAAGAATTTTTAGCAACCATAAAAATACGTTATTCAGTAATAGATACATAATTTATGATGGCAGTTATTAGAGATATTTTGTCTGCAATGAAGAAAATTCCAGTAAGACAATTTAAGAATTCAATTTCCTCAGTGAAAGAGGGCATAATCTTAGTTAGTTAACTGTAAGTTACTATATTTCTATAATAATATTTTTATTTTAGCCTCATTTGAATAATAAGTAATTTATCATTTTTAAATAAGTTGCGCTTCTCCGAGGAATGTTCAACTAGTTTAGAGTAGAAAATTTTTCCATTTAAAAGCGCCTTAACACCACTAAAATACATTAAAAAGTTTGAAAATATATTAAAGACATAGAATCCCACACTGCTGTAAAAATTTAACACCGTCGCGGGAAGTTTGTCAATATATCAAGTGCCTTTAGGCAAAAGATTTTATCCTTCTAAGATGTTATAAATTCAACCCAATAAACATTTATTGTTTAAATAAAAAATTAAATCGTATTTATATTCCTTTCAAGTAGATACAAGTATTGGAGTAAGCTTTCAATAAAAACGATTGAAGTAGCAATAATTTGAAAAGTTTTATCAAATGTTCATCATAACTTTGTCTTTTATTCTTTTTTGTGCCGCTTTAGTTATCTAAATTGTTCTGTTTAGAAATTGGGAATTAAGAGAAAGGCAGGATATATTGTGCCGACTACAGTTTCAAACATATTTTGGGACAAATACTAGGCGAATTTCGACGTAATCAACAAGAATTTTCCCATAAATAACAAATTACTCGCACCCTCAGAGACGGAGATCCATTTTTATTTTATTTATTCCGGAATCAGATCGCTCTTTTTACACCCGTAGAAGGGTAATGAAATTTCATAAATATGCAATTACCATTATCTCTATTGTAGGGAATGCCCTGACATCTTTCACATTCCTTTTTTAAACATTATTCGAGTTAGCACGATGATATGATAAATTTTATTTGATACTGTTGCTTCGCGAGGGCGACTATTCCTTACGCTTCCGGTTTATCATCCATTATAGATTTTTATTGAGCAGCGCGTGTCAAAATCATGTTTATATCACTGATGTGTTTACTTTATGAACTTGGTTACATTTTACAAATATGTGGTTTTTCTTCAAGGTTACTGAAGTTAATAGGTTGCCTGGTAATGGGTAACTTGATGACGCATCTGGGGTGCCTTATTGAGATTGGCATTATATTGAGGCACCCCAGATGACGTCATAAAGTTATCAGGCAACCTACCTCTCTCAAACAACCTTGGTTTTTCTTATCTATATATACGGGTGTCCCAAAAAGATACCGACAAACTTTAAGAGGTAGTAAAGGACATCAAAACAAGCATCTTTGTTTATAAAACATATGTCCGCAAATGAGCCATTTGGGCTGTAGAGCAGAAAAACTGTTTGGTACTTTTATTCTTCGCAATAATTAAATCACTGTTTACTCATTAATTTTGCTTTATTAACGAATAAATTATGGTTTACAATAATTGTTCAAAATGTTGACCATTTATTTCAATGCAAAGATTGGACGGTCGGGTCATTGACTCGCGAACCCTTAAAAATATTCCGGGAATAGCTTCTACATGGGTACAACTCGCCAGTATCCTTGCTAACAGATCTTCCTCATTACGAACAGGTGTTTCGTAGACTGAACTTTTCAGTCAATGACCCGACGGTGCAATCTTTGCATTGAAGTAAATGGTCAACATTTTGAACAATTATTGTAAACCATAATTTATTCGTTAATAAAGCGAAATTAATAAGTAAAGAGTGATTTAATTATTGCGAAGAATAAAAGTAGCAAACAGTTTTTCTGCTCTACAACCCAAATGGCTCATTTGCGGACATATGTTTATATAAACAAAAATGCTTGTTTTGATGTCCCTTACTACACTTTAAAGTTTGTCGGTATCTTTTTGAGACACCCTCTATAATTTGCTTATGGAGTTTATATGTCTTTCCAAGACATTCTGACGTTATTACTTGAGCTAGAATTCTCAAATTTGGAATAGTTGTTCCTTGGGACACTGGCTAGAACCTAACGGAGCCAGATTTCAATCTAGAAAAAAAATTAGGGCAAAAAATGAGTTTTAGCGCGGAGTTTTCGCGCGTTTTATCTCTGATTCCACGTCGAAGTCGAACCCCATCCATGTTCGTCGCGTCTTCGCACACAGACAGTGTTGCCACATAATTCTTTTCACTTAAAAAATTCGAGAAATTAAAATTGACCACTAAAAAAAAAGGTGTCCATTTTTTCCAGTTGCCTGGTGTGGCGGAAATTTTTTTTTTAGTAATTTTACATTATACATATCCTTCTGTTAATATGACAAACAATTTCATTTACATAGCCTGGCAGAGACAGGCCTATCAACTAGTAGTTCATATAATTATGTTGTCTGACTCCCTGAATCACTCATGCAGAAATACAAAATTGCAAATAACGTCTTCGTAAACTTTATATCTATTGAGCTGTTAATTTTTAAACAGAACCGAACGGAGTAGCAATTTCATTTATCTGCAATATAAAAGATGCTGTCATTGCTTTGGAAAATA